AGGGGAATTGACAGGGTGGACAAGTATGGATTATTTAACACGGGTGGTACACTCACAAGGGGACACAGGTGGAAGCTGAGTACCCAAATGAGCCACAGAGACGTTAGAAAGAACTTTTTCAGTGTCAGAGTAGTTAGTAAATGGAATGCATTAGGCAGTGATGTGGTGGAGGCTGACTCCATACACAGTTTCAAATGTAGATATGATAGAGCCCAGTAGGCTCAGGAATCTGTTCACCAGTTGGTTGACAGTTGAGAGGCGGAACCAAAGAGCCGAAGCTCAACCCCCGCAAGCACAACTAGGTGAGAATACTGCACTCACAGTCGTAGTCTTAAGAGCCCGGATTCGATTCTCGGTCGAGGCAGAAGCAATTGAGCTGCGTTTCATTCAAATAATGCCCCTGTTCACCTAACAGTAAACATGTTCCTGGGAGTTAGACAGCTGCTATGGAGAGAGAGAGAGATAGAGAGAGAGAGAGAGAGAGAGAGAGAGAGAGAGAGAGAGAGAGAGAGAGAGAGAGAGAGAGAGAGAGAGAGAGAGAGAGAGAGAGAGAGAGAGAAGATAATCCAACCATGGCCCTGCACTGGACCGAGTTAAAGAAAAATAATAAAAAATTAAAGGAGAAAAACTGTTTCCTTTTGTCGTGCTTCCCATTCAGGAAGCTTTCTTGGGAATATTTGGTCCCGCGCCGCCAGGACAAGTTGATCCTCAGGGCCCGGCTTGTGCTCCCGGCCCCTGTGTCCCGTGGCCACGGTCATTGTTCCTCCTGTGTGTGTGTGTGTGTGTGTGTGTGTGTGTGTGTGTGTGTGTGTGTGTGTGTGTGTGTGTGTGTGTGTGTGTGTGTGTGTGTGTGTGTGTACTCACCTAATTGTGCTTGCGGGGGTTGAGCTTTGGCTCTTTGGTCCCGCCTCTCAACTGTCAACCAACTGGTGTACAGGTTCCTGAGCCTACTGGGCTCTATCATATCTACATTTGAAACTGTGTATGGAGTCAGCCTCCACCACATCACTGCCTAATGTATTCCATTTATTACCCTGACACAGAAGAAAGTTCGTTATAATGTCTCTGTGGCTCATTTGGGCACTCAGTTTCTACCTGTGTCCCCTTATCCATGTATTACCAGTGATAAGTAAATTGTCTTTATCAACCCTATCAATTCTTCAGAGAACCTTGTATTTGGTGATCATGTCTCCCCAAACATCCTGTTTCCGCCTGTGTGTGTATTTACTATGTGTATTTTACAGTTTGTATCTACAGAATCGAGCTATTAGCTCTTGAGCGCCCCTTTTCTAACCAATTTACCTTTTCGTGTATTATGTTTTTTTTCGAACGTTTTTTCTATTATGTTTCTTACGGTCCTTACTTACGTTTCTTACGTTCTATTCTATTATGTTTTTTTACGAACTTTTTTCTTGCAATGTATTTTTTTTGTTGCATTGTATTCCAATGTAATTACTATGCTATGTATGCTCACAAACCCAATGTACCTTCTTGTATATAAATAAATAAATAAATAAATAAATGTCTACTACACATATTTCTCATGTGTGTGTGTGTGTGTGTGTTCATCTGTACGCTTAATTTGAGTATTGAGAGAGCAGAAGACCAGGTAATGTTTGAGGAGCGAGTGGTGGTGGCGTGGCTGTTCTGTCACCTGGTGACTCAGGCACCACACTACCTCCCAACCAGTAACAACGGTCCCCCCCCCCCCCCTCTCCCGTGGTAGTCAGGGGGGAGGGGAGGTGCCCTGTGCCCTCCCCTGGTGGTCAGGGGGCAGGAAGTGAAGGGGGGCGGGTGTTTACAGGTGCCCGGGCATCTGTGCTTGGAGGGCTGTGTCATCTGCCACCTGCCCGGGAGTCTTAGTCTGGCCTGATATATCCACTTGTGTTCCAAGATATGTCTTGAGCTGATGGCTCCTTCTTTTGGACGTGGGGTCCTCTGGGTGAATGGTGTACACGACCGCGGACACAGGTTATATTCCCGGGCAGGACAGAAATGAATGAGCACCTTTCCTTTTACCTGATGCTTCTGTTCAACTGGCGTAACTTGGGCTGGGCGGTAGAGCGACGGTCTCGGTTCATGCAGGTCGGCGTTCAATCCCCGACCATCCAAGTGGTTGGGCACCATTTCTTCCCCCCGTCCCATCCCTAATCCTTATCCTGACCCTTTCCCAGTGCTATATAGTCATAATGGTTTGGTACTTTCTCCTCACAGTTCCCTTCCCCTTCTCTTCACCTGACACTAAAAAGGTTACCCGGGAGTCAGGCAACTGTTGTGGTATGCATCCTAACCGTCCTATCCATCCTAACCTCTCCTATTCTAACCTATCCAATCCTAATCTTGTAACACGAGGAGGGTTTCTCTAATTATCTTTCCTTCTTCTCCCCCTCTACCCGTATTCTTACTTTTTATTCTCTACAAGGGACTCCAAAACTTTTACTAAAGCCGACTCCACGCCACGTGGTCCTAAGACGATTGACCGACTTAGGATTCTACAACCAGTATGACGTGACCTAGGCTTCGAGCAAAACCCTAGAGTCGCCTCCGCCGCCACCACCAGACCAGTAACACAGAGCAATGATCGAGGTCTGGATCGATCATGCTAATTAATCAACCTTGGGGCTTGATCCCCACTAGTAGTTTATAACCTCGGAAACTTGAGTGTGGAATTAATTAGACGGGGATGATGAATTCCGATTCGATGTTAGAATCGGCGCCCAATTCAACTCTGCCTCGTGTGGACCACGTGACCAGGACAAGTTCACATAAACACATGGAAATAATAAAAATGCAATTTATTAACTAATTAATTTATTAAAAGAAAAACTAAAACAAAATCTAAATATGTTCACTCCCTGTCACTTTAACACTCCCTACTTGACCTGAACGGCAATGAGTTGACTATCCCTATAAATAACAATAGCAACTATACCTCTATGTTGACCAGCTAAAGATGTTGGGGGCTGGTCTTGGGGGAGAGGTGAGATGGGTTGACCTCCCCCAGTTGATCTGGAGTTCACACTGATCTCTCCTCGTCTGGTCTACCCCAGACTAGAGCATTGTATCCTTCCGCATAGTCTAAGTTTTACCAAGTTACTAGCAAGGTTTAAGTTATAACAATTAACCTCTGTTGTACTTAATTGATCCAGACTGGTTGAATTATTTTACTGAAGTTAAATTACACAAGCCTCTAACAGCAGAGCTGTTCCCGATCACCAAAATGGTTATTTGAACTTTGAGAAAATAGTGTACATGTCAACTCTGATGACCTATGACCGCTAGGTCACTCCGCCTTACAACTTAGATCTGATTCGTGATGTCACTGATGGTGACTTAACTCAATAATTAGAATACTCTTGATATTGTACCCAGTAATATTATACAATACAATTTTAATACAAAATAAATAAAGGCTAATTTCTCTAACTTACTGAATACTATAGGATGATTCATTATACGCAGCAATGAACAAGGCGTCGATTATTTTCACCGCGAATTCCCCTGGGGTCAGGTCCCAGGTCACCACGCGGGCCCAGCTTCCCATTCTCTTTTGTCGATAAACCACTCTGGATAATTCTTACAACCAGCCTAGTTTGTTACAATCTATCTTATGGTCACCAAGATAGGAGATACCATTATGTGTGTGTATATTGTGTTCACAAGATGTGTGACGTGTGGACAGCACTTCGTATTCGTAGTCCTGTGGTTCCGGGTTCGATCCCCGGTGGAGGCGGAAACAAATAGGCAAAATGTTTCTTTCACCCTGATGCCCCCTGTTACCTAGCAGTAAATAGGTACCTGGGAGTTAGACAGGTATCTCGATGGGGGGGGGTGTAACAAAAAGGGGGCCTGGTCGAGGACCGGGCCGCGGGGACGCAAAGCCCCGAAATCATCTTAAGATAAGCTCAAGACGTCACTATGACGTCATAATGTGACCTCGAACCAGGTATCAGAGTCAAGTGACCAAGAGTAGTGACGTCACTATGAGGTCATCAGAGCACCCGTAGTGAGGAGCACACACACACACAGGCGGGGATGTGTGCCAGTTGTTTGGGAGCCGCTGGTAGCGACCAGTACACTCTGGCGGCGGCACCCACACAGGCACAGTGCTGCCTCTGGTGGTGGCATGGATGGCTTTACTGAACGTTGTCAAGTGAGGGGTCACCTGCCTGGCTGCCAGACCTCTCCTGTGGGGCGAAGTCCATCCTCACGCTGCTGCCTCTCTCTCCTGCCTCAGTGTCTGGCCCGCCGTCAGGGGCTCACCTCTACTGTCTCCTTGTGGTGGTTGTGGAGGGTCAGGCTGGTGGTGGATGGTGGTGGTGTGACGTCCGGGCTAGAGGATCAAAGCATCGGTGTCCGGAGATAAAACATCCCAATCTGACATCATGCAGGCGCCTTTTGGTTGACATCGTCAGCCATTATTTTGACAAGAGCATTAGTGGCGCCCACCAGTGAGGAGTGGGCGCCCGGAAGCACTACCACGGGTGTTTACAACAATAATAACCTTGGCTTGTGGAGTTGTTTCCAAGCGCCCCAATTGTTTAATGTAAACAAAACTCTCATTATTCAAGAAAAACGTACAGGATGCGTATGCTCTTAAGTAAATGATTTGTCAAAATGTATCCAAGGATTCACCAGACTGTTGGTGCACGTATAGTCGCGGAAGGCTGTTTTCAACCCGTTCTCATTGTAGAAGGTCGCATTTTGATGTATATTCTACCTAAGGCCAAAAAACGTCGTACTAGAAAATGAAAGCGGCTCTCGAAATTGACATACTGTCCCGTTTTCTGTTTAGGGTCCTCTGGTAGTGTTGGATAAGGACACTTTAGTACGACAGTTTCTTGACGTTGGGGACCCTTGGGAGGACGGGCTGGTCAGAGCGCTTGCTACACCAGCCACAGACAGTAACTGGAGACCAACAGACATGCATGAAGGCAATATTACCTCCTTGAAAGTTCTCTCAAGCTACGGTGACTACTGTTGATCCAAGACGGGCCAAGATGGTCAGGCTGGACCAAGATAGACCAAGATGGACCAAGATGGACCAAGACGGACCAAGATGGACCAAGATGGACCAAGATAGACCAAGATCGACCAAGATGGACCAAGACGGACCAAGACGGACCAAGATGGACCAAGACGGACCAAGACGGACCAAGATGGACCAAGACGGACCAAGATGGACCAAGATGGACCAAGACGGACCAAGATGGACCAAGATGGACCAAGATGGACCAAGATGGACCAAGTGGGAAGGGAAGACGGACATCAGGACCATAACAGTGTGCGGGGAAATCACATTTGTCAACCAGAATATAATTTTCTCTCCACATCTTAGACCCCACTTGAGGGCGAGGTTATGAGGGCGTGGTTGTGAGGGCGAGGTTATGAGGGCGTGGTTGTGAGGGCAAGGTTATGAGGGCGTGGTTGTGAGGGCCAGATTATGAGTGCGTGATTGTGAGGGCTGGATTGTGAAGGCTGGGTTTTGAAGGCTGGGTTGTGAGGACGGGGT